TGTAAAGTTTAGCAAAATTCTGAATATGTAGGTTAGAAGAACACTGCTCAATTTCTCTGTGCGTCACAGCGCCCCACTGAGTATTTTGTCATTACTACATTAAGTTAAAGCCATATGGAGACCACAGAAAGCCACAAACCACATGTAGCTAAGAGTTTGCACAGAGAAAGGGAGCCAGTCTAATGGCCTGTTACCCCAGCTAATTTGACAGTCTAGTTTCTTTGTTTTTTACGCCTTGTATCTTTCAGCTCGGAAACAGTGAGCTGTTAGTGAGTTAGTAAAGTGATGCCAAACAAGATAAGTGATGTTAAAAGTTTTATTTCATTAAATTTATACGAGTATATTATGTATGTAAACGTATATATTATACATTTATCAGCTCTCTGACTGATGTGGTGCGTCTGGCATGTAGTGGCCTAATATTTTTCCCATATGAAAGGCAGAATGTTGAGAAGATTCATGTCTAACTGCCACAAATCATGTCACAAAGGACATCTCTCACACTGACCCTCACAGACATTACATACAGACTCACATACACTGTGAGTGGCTCGTCAGATCAACCTAAAAAAAATACTTCAATTGAACCAGTTTTATTCAACTCAAAAACTAAAATTAAAACTAGTTCATTTGCTTTTTACCGCATAAAGTGTTTTTTAGGTTGATTAGACGAGGTATTTCTACAGTGTAAGAAATCAGCAGGTGCATTAGGCTCTATTTTGTCTCACTAACTGTATGAGTAGCTACCTTTCCCTTTAGCTGGGGTTTAGTACAGACATGCTTTTAAAACATGTTTAAAGTGTGCTTTTTCAGTAATCATTGAGGACAGAAATACAAAAGAGACAAGCAGAGGGAGAGAGAGGTATTTTCAGCTGAAAAACATAAATAAATAGTTAAATGACTGCTTAAATAAACAGACAGGGTAACGAGTCAAAGCAATGTGAATAATCTTATATTTTAGGAAGATATGTGTACTTCTAAGAGGAATTGTTGCAGGCATTATCTGTAATAACAGTCATAGCCCTTAAATGCGGCGTTTTTGACAAGTATTAGCGCATATTATAATTTAATACTTTAGTTCCTGACGGAACTACCGGCAATGTTCTATACAGACGGCATCGTTTTTTTGGCGTCAGTTGGGAATGAGCTAGAAAATACGCTTAAACTTCTGTTTTCCCAAATGTGTACTTGTAGTCAGACCCAGCAGCGCTTTATACTGTGCTGGAGAGCTATGGGCAGTTGCAGCAAACATAACCTTAAAATGGATTATGTATGTGTGTGTATGCAGGAACAATAAAGACACTGGCAGAGAGGGAAGCCATCGAGTCAGACATTTTCTGGAGTGACACAGATAATCTTACATAGAAATAATGTTAAAAATAGTACAGCCATAAATGTGGTCTCAACTCCCAAACTTCACTGGAATAGGAGCGCAACAAACAGACATGAAACATAAAAGCAAAAAGCTGTACACTATCATGCAAAATAAACAAACTGTATTACAGAATAAGGATTAAGCTGAAACGACTTTACATACAAACAGAATAAAGCACTAGACTAACTACTTTCATAATTGATTTTCAAATAATGAAATACAGCATATATTTGACTGTTAGATGTTATTTTGTTTCTTAGCCTGTTTCTCAGAGGATACACTGACATATGTCTTGATCTTTATTAGTATTCTAAAATTATAATAAAATATATTTTTTATAAACAACTCTTTATTCAAACTTTTGACTACTGGACATAAAACTATCACTGCACTTTTATTAACTTATCTGCAGTTTAGGGTTTAACATGGTTTAAACCTGTTTAAAATCAAGTTCTGTGTATTACTTGCATTGCATTACTGACAGTGTCAACTAAAAGCAGCTGCTGTATCATTTAGAAATCACACATCTGCCACTAAACCTACTACATACATGATTTACCTGTTGTTTAAGGCAAGACTAAAAGTCTCTGATTTTTTTAATGTTACATATGCCTACATACCTCCCACCAAGATTTTTAACAAGCTTCAGGCAAGGTTAAATTTCATAGCAGTATTGTTTCATTAAACACATTTAAGTGAATGGTGCTCAGTTTAACACAGGCTAGTACTAAATAAATAAATAACAGACACATCTTGTGAATGTTTGATGGATTTTGATTCTTAGACACAGAACTACTCCAATAGACTACATAGTCTAACAGACTAAGAGAAAAACAGTAGACCCAGTGATGTGCACAGCCTTTGGAAAGAATAGCGACAAAAGTATAGGCTGTGAAACAGGAAGAGTAATTTCCATTAGGCTTGTGTAAAATATGCAGCGTTATCGATTGCTTTAATACATTTTGATTGATTTATGATTGAATATTGATAAAAGAGTCTCAGAGTGTACACAAGCTAAAAACAGGCAGCCAAATTATTGCTTGTAATTATCAACCATAATTTCAATATCAAGCCAATAAGAGTGATTGTATTTTTCAGTTTGTTGTCAAACACACACACAAAAAATACTAGCCAATCTCCAGCTGACACAAAGCTGGATTTCCAGCAGCGTGGTGTTCATTATAACTGCAGTATGACCCTCTAATCTTCTGGGAAGGCTTTACATTATATGTTGGAAAATTGCTGTGAGGATTTAATTTAGCATTAGTGAGGTCAGGTACTGCTGTTGGATGATCAGATCTGGATCACTCCAACTCATCCTAAAGGTATTGGATGGAGCTCCATCACTCTAGAGAACGCAGTTCTACTGCTCCACAGCCCAATGCTGGGCTTTATACACCTCTAGCCCATGCTTGGTATTGGACATGGTGACCTTAGGCTCACATGTGGCTGCTCCAGAGCGTCCCGTTCTATTGATGAATACTTTTCTATGGAGATTATACAAGCTATTTCTGAGTAATTGAACACCTGCAATCAGCAATAAGTGCACTTTCTAGTAACTGAATTCACTGATAAGAAGCAAATGTTTAGCACTAGTATAAACATACACACACACACGTATTAATAATGATAACTTTTCATAGCAGTGGCATTTCAAAATGCTTTACAGACAGGTTTACAGACACATTTAACAGTAATAAAAGAAATTAAATTCTTCTGATGTGGCTATTGTTCAGTCAGAGCAATATAGGGTAAAACAAAATAAATAAAAGTTAAGAGTATTATTTAAAATCATACGAAGCAATGACAGATTAGATTAAGAAGACAAACACCAAAGAGACTTAGAGTTTTAATGAAGCGCTGAAGCATTTTCAGATGTTTATTAAAAGTGAGCTCTGATCTTGACTGTCTAATAAAAGGTGAACTGGACTCCACAGTTTAGAAGCAGAATAACAGAAAGAGTCTGTCTATGTTTTCTGTATTTTGTGGAAGGTGTTTGCAGAAGGTCAGTATCTGCAGATCTAAGATCATAGAATCATAGGATCTGTGCTGCTGCATTCTGTACAAGATGTAGAGGATGGATTGTTTTCTCCAGTAAGATCATTACAGTGATCAACTCTGCTGAACTTTAGTGATATTTCTCAAATGATAAAAAGTTACTTTAGTGACTGTTTACATGCAGATTAAACAGAGCTCAGAGCCAGGTTTCTACTGCAACTTTGGTATATGAAGATAAAGAGCCAAGCTTCCCATAAAGCAGCTTTCTCTAAAGAGTTTTAGCACCAAAGATCAGTTAGTTAATATGTTATTGATTTAGTTAATGTTTTTAATGATTTGCATCCCTTGTATTTTTTCTTGTATTTTATCATCTCCCTTGAGGTCCCTATTCGTGTGGTTTTATGTAGCGTTGTAGTGCTCAAATACGGTATTGAGACCATAAACTAGCGGTCTCTGTCTCATCTCAGTCTAGAGCTCATTTGGACTTGGTCTTGGGGAAGGTGGACCAGCCAAGTGTGATGCCTCTGTCTGAGGTAACTGGAAACTGAATTATTATTGAATATCAACAAAACCAGAATTAACAGAATAAAACCGTCCTTTCTCTGCATCAGGAGTTCACAAACATTTGCAACTTGCAGTCCATATAAACGTTCACAAAAGCTTTGGTGGATTTAATTGATTGTTTCTGACTCTCCTGATGAGAATTTGATTTGGCAGCTGTTGAGTGCTGGATGTCAGGCTGAAGAGAGGAAAGCTGAGGAGTTCAGCTCAATTCAACAGGTATAGATACATATTTACTGTGTTTAGATTCATATACACTGTGTTTAGATACATATTCAGTGTGTTTAGTCTCTGAGTGATGGTGTAAATTGTTGGGTTTCAAAGCTTCATTTGAAAAGACCCCCGAACAAACAGCACAGAACTGCAGTTCCTTGTTTTCAGTTCTCACACAGGTGAAGTCCAGTGATATTAACAGCTGTATTTTCTTCCTTTCAGTTTTGCTTGTGCTGAAAATATAAATATAACTTTTAGAGCTCTTGAATCCAGATACGCAACTAATCTTTGCCTCTCATTGCCATTCCTGAATAAAATAATCATAAATTTAATTTAATTTAAATTTAATTAATACAAAATGTTTTATTTTTATTAAACTGCAGAAAGTACCACAAAGTTGTCACTTCCTTGCAAGTATACTTACAGTTGATCATCACTGCTCAAGCAGGGCAGAAAGGTGTTTGAAAGGTGGCATCTTATGACATTGCCACGTTGAAAGTCGCTGAGGTGCTCCAGCCAGATAAAAATATACCTTCATGTTTTCATAACAGTAATATTATCAACAATAATTAGAATAGGCTTAGACAGTTTATATCACTGTAATAGTAGACCAAGTCTGATTTGTCGACCAGAGGAGGATGGGTTCTCCTTTTGAGTCTTGGTTCCTCTCAAGGTTTCTTCCTCTTGCTCTTAGGGAGTTTTTCTTTGCCACTGCGCCACTGGCTTGCTCATGGGGGCTTGGACGCGGATTTTTCTTTAAAGTTGCTTTGTGTCAACACCTGTTGTAAAAAGCGCTAAATAAATAAACTTTGACTAGACTTGATTAGAACCTCACTTTTTTCTTCTTCTGCAGGGAGCATCGGGAGCAGATGATGTGTTATCAGAAAAGAGATCCAAAACCAAAACATCTCAAGCTGGTGAGAAATAGTGTATTCCACTGTAGCTATATTGCAGTTCACCCCCCAAAACATTTAATTCTGTTTTGTGGCTAAATGTCTGCAGTGCAAGCAGAGGGAAAAGTTGTCTATTGGGGTGAAATTTAAGGAGTATAACTGACTCTAAATATTACACAAGTATGACTCAGAGTAGTGTGCTGTACTCAATATGCATATGTTCTATAGAAGGGTACTGTATACAGGGGTGGATTTAGTGATTCTGTGGCCCTAGGCAAAAGACAAGAATGAGGCCCCTGATAAGACCATAAGTGGTCTACTAAAAAAAAATCACACTGTAAACCTCCTCTCCATAAAATAGATTATCACTTTAATGGCTTATTCATACCAGTCTGTCTTTACACAGTTGAGTCATCACATAACAGCATGTAATAGTCCATTATAGTCATGAGCAGGGGGTGGGGCTGTATTGAAATTACTAATAAATAATCATTACCATCACAAATAGCACCTTTTTTCAAAATGATTATATACAACCCGATTTCCAAAAAAGGCAGGACGCTGTGCAGAATGTAAATAAAAATAGAATGCAATGATATGCAAATCATGTAAATCATAGTTTTAAAGAAAAATACTACAAAGACAATAAATTAAATGTTGAAACAGAAATTGTATTGTTTTTTGAAAAATATATGTCCATTTTGAATTTGATGCCAATAACACGTTCCAAAAATGTTTACCACTGTGTTTCATCACCTCTCCTTTTAACAACACTCTGTAAGCATTTGGGAACTGAGGAGACACTGCTGTAGTTTTGAAAGTGAAATGTTTTCCCATTCTTGTTTGATTTAGGATTTCAGCTGCTCAACAGTTCAGAGTCTCCTTTGTCATATGTTTCATTTCATAATGTGGCAAATGTTTTCAGTGGTGATTGGTCTAGACAGCAAGTCATCTAGATGGCAGCATATGTTGCCAAAATATGTATATATTGTTCAGCATTAATGGTGCCTTCACAGATGTGCCAGTCACCCATGCCATGTTCACTAATGCACCCCTATACCATCATAAATACTAGCTTTTTAACTGTACACTGATAACAAGCTGAGTGGACTTTATCCCAGAGTACACAGTGTCCATGATTTCCAAAAAGAATTTCATATGTTGATTCGTCGGACCACAGGACACTTTTCCACTTCCTCTCAGTCCAAAAGCAAAAGTTCTTTTCTATTTTACATTGAAAAATGTTATTCTTAAATTGTTGCACTGCTTGATCGTGCAGTCTTTCACAGAGTGGTGAACCCCTCATCATCTTTACTTCTGAAAGACTCAGCCTCTTTGAGATGCTTTTTTATATCCAATGACGTTACTGACCTGTTGCCAATCAACCACTAGGTGTTTTTTTAGCATTACACAACTTTACCAGTCTTTTGTTGCCCCCGTCCCAACTTTTTTGGAACGCGTTGTTGACATCAAATTCAAAATGCGATTTTTCAATGAAACATAAAATTTCTCAGTTTAAACATGATTATGGCAAGCCAAACAGGAAATATTTAATGAACTTTGATATATATTGAATGAAAGTCGCTATTGAAGGATTGAGGATGACCAAGAAAAACTACATCAATAAGTGTACAAGGCTACAACACACACACAACCCCATAAGTCCCTCTCTGTCTAAACTAAACATTTTATGAATTATATTATTCATTTTTTCATCTCAATGTTCGATCCATGTACATCAATGTTCATTTCATATATATCAAAGTTCATTATATATATATATATATATATATATATCAATGTTCATTCCATATGTCATTGAATATGATATATATTATTATATTGATATATATTGAATGAAAATCTATATTTATTGAATGAAACTTGATGTACATGGATCGAACATTGAGATGAAAAAATGAATAATATAATTCATAAAATGTTTAGTTTAGACAGAAAGGGGCTTATGGGGTTGTGTGTGTGTTGTAGCCTTGCACACTTAATGATGTAGTTTTTCTTGGTCATCCTCAACCCTTCAATAGCGACTTTCATTCCATATATATCAAAGTTCATTCAATACATATCAATGTTCATTGTATATAATCACCATTCATTCAATATATCTCAGTAGAACAAAGATTGATATCTATTGAATGAACATTGATATCTATTGAATGAACATTGATATCTATTGAATGAACATTGAAATATATTGAATGAACATTGATATATATATATATATATAGAATGAACATTGATATATATGGAATGAACATTGATATATATGGAGTGAACATTGATATATATTGAATGAAAATGTGTATATATATATTGAATGAAGCTTGATTTACATGGATCGAACATTGAGATGAAAAAATAAATAATATAATTCACAAAATGTTTTGTTCAGACAGAGAGGGACTCTGGGGTTGTGTGTGTTGGAGCCTTGCACCCCAAACAAACAGACTGTTTAGATTGTTATTTAATGTTGCTATGTTGTTGTTCTTCAGTTACAGTGTATGTGTTTACTCTGTTATTTTGTGTCCAGCTCAGAGTTAGGGAGAGTGTGTTTGTGTTTGGTGACCATCAGAAGAAAGAGTAGGGCAATTTTCAGTTGCTTTTCAAGTGCCATTGTTTTCCCTTGCTCTCAATAAAAGAGCATTTTTCAAACAGAAGTTATGGCCTCATCTGACTCTTCTTCTGCACCATGTCAAATTATGTATATATTAAAACTCCACCCATCTGTGTCTTCACATCATATATCAGCCACTCTCAGGTCACTCTGTCCATGGGATCACTGTATATAGATACTGGTCACTTTATCAGAATTCCCTTCCTTTAAGCTCCACCTGGAGTTTGTTAATGCCCATTTATTGATGTACAGTTTTTCTTGGCCACCCTCAACCCTTCAACAGCAACTTTCATTCAATATATATCAATGTTCAATCCATATATATCAAAGTTCATTCCATATATATCAATGTTCATTGTATATATATCAATGTTCATTCCATATATATCAAAGTTCATTCCATATATATCAATGTTAATTTCATATATATCAAAGTTCATTATATATATACATATATATATATATATATATATATATATATATATATATATATATATCAATGTTAATTTCATATAAATCAAAGTTCATTATATATATATATATATCAATGTTCATTAAATATTTCCTGTTTGGCTTGCCATAATATATATATATATATATATATATATATATAACAACTGGCTACATTAGCTACAGATAATACAGATAACTGTTAAATAACTGTTACACCTATTTAAATGCCCTATTTGCTTGAACTAGACAACTGGCATCCTTTCTTTTTGTGGTATAATCGCCATCCCATAATTGGGGAAGGAGGTCAGAGTGTACATTCATTGCAGTGCATGCTGGAGATTGTAGTGCAGCGCACTGTTAAATGGGCTAATATTAATAGAAAATTTAAATAATTCATTAAATAATTCATTCCAAATATGATGCCTGTAATACATTCTAAAAAGTTGGGACAGGAGCATGTTTACCGCTGTGTTACATCTCCTTTCCTTTAAATAGCACTTAATAATCATTTTGGGCATTGAAGACACAAACTGATCCAGTTTTGAAAGCAGATTTTTTGCCTTTCTTTAGTTATACAAGTCTTCAGCTGTGCAAACTTAACTTTATTGCTATATCATTTGCTTCATAAAGTGCCACACATTTTCAGTGAGAGACAGACAGGCCAGGCTAGCTCCAGCACTCTCTGATTATGCAGCCATGCTCTTGTAACATGTGCAGAATGTTTCTTGGCATTGTCATGTTGAAATAAGCATGAGTGTCTCTAAAAAAGACAGAGTCAATGTTGTTCCAAAATGCCTATATATCTTTTAGAATTAATGGTCCTGTCACAGATGTGCAGGTTACCCACTACTACCCCCACATCATGCCAGACATTGGACTTAGAACTTTATGCTGGTAACAATCTGGATGGTCGTTTTCTTCTTTAGCCTGGAGAACACAACATCCACTATGTCCATTAACAGTCTGAAAGGTGGACAGTCCATTTCAGATGAGCTGGAGACCACAAAAGTCAAATGTTTCTGGGCATTGTTGATATATGACCTCCACTGTGCATAGTGTAAACTTAACTCGCATTTGTGGATGCAGTGACAGACGGTGTTTATTGACAATAGGTTGTCAAAGTATCCATCTCAGAAGCAAGCTGGTTTTTAATGCAGTACTCTCTGAAGGGTCAAAGGTCACAGATATTCATTTGTGGTTTTCAGCCTCGATTTTTGCAGATTCACTGAGTCTTTGTTTGTTGATGAACATTGTACTTAAACAGTTGTATTTTTTTGCTCATACAATTTTGGCAATTTCAAATCTCATAGACCCATATTTTATTCACAATAGAACATAGAACATAGATAAGATGTTGAAAGTGAGACATTTTACCATTTCATGAAAAACATTAACTCTTTTAGAACTTGACGGCAGCAAAGCATCTCAAAAAAGTTGGGACAGGGCTGTGTTTACCATTGTGTATCATCCCCTCTTCTTTAAACAACAGTCAAATGTAAAGTGAAGTGAGGAGACCAGTTCCTGGAGTTTTGGGAGAGGAATCTTGCCACAGTCTTCTCTGATGTAGGATTCTAGCTGCTCAACAGTCCTGGGTCTTTTTTGCTGGATTTTTCATTTCATGATGCGCCAAACGTTTTCTATTAGTGAAAGGTCTGGACTGCAGGCAGGCCAATTCAGCACCCAGACTCTTCTTCTGCAAAGCCGTGCTGTTGTGATGGATGCATTATGTGGTTTAGCATTGTCTTACTGAAATATGCAAGGCCCTCCCCGAAAGAGACGTTGTCTGGATGGGAGCATATGTTGTTCTAGAACCTCTACATACTGTCCAGCATTGATAGTGCCTTTCCAGATATGTAAGCTGCCCACACCATAGGCAGTAATGCAACCCCATACCATCAGAGATACACGCTTTTGAACTGTGCACTGATAACAAGCTGGATGGTCCCTCTCCTCTTGAGTCTGCAGGACATGGCGTCTGTGGTTTCCAAAAAGAATTTCAAATTTTGATTCATCTGACCACAGAACAGTTTTACATTTTGCCTCGGTCCATTTTAAATGAGATTTGGCCCAGAGAAGACGGCGGCGTTTCTGGATCGTGTTGACATAAGGCTTCTTCTTTGCATGATACAGCTTTAAGTTGCATTTGTGGATTGCACTGCGAACTGTGTTCACAGGCAGTGATTTCTGGAAGTTTCCTGAGCCCATGCAATGATTTTCAGTACAGAATCGTGCAGTGCCGCCTGAGGGCCCGAAGATCATGAGCATCCAATATTGACTGTTGGCCTTGTCCCTTGCGTACAGGGATTTCTCTAGATTCTCTGAATCTTTTGATATTATGTACTGTAGATAGTGGGGTATCCAAAGTTTTCGCAATTTTACTTCGAGGAACATTTTTCTGAAATTCTTTTACCATATTTTGATGCGGTTTTTTGCAGATTGGTGAACCTCTGCCCATCTTCGCCTCTGAGAGACTCTGCTGCTCTAAAATGCTATTTTTATACCCAGTCATGTGAGTCAGTTGCGAATTGCTCCTCCAGCTGTTTTTTTTTATTAGTATCACTTACTTTTCCAGCCTTTTGTTGCCCCTGTCCCAATTTTTTTGAGATGTGTTGCTGCCATCAAGTTCTAAATGAGTTAATGTTTTTCATGAAATGGTAAAATGTCTCACTTTCTGATATGTGTTTTATGTTCCATAGTGAATAAAATACGGGTCTATAAGATTTGCAAATCATTGCAAATCATAAAAAATAAATAACCTTTACTCCCTGCAAAGTTCCCCTCAAGCAGAACATTTTCACTCTATAGTCTGGAATCTCCCTTTAAATGTTAAAAACCCTGTGTAGTCCACTTTGCAGGAAATTATTAGGGCGACTGAAATGCACCTTATTTGTTTAGGCCAGTGTATCTGAACGGCAGTTTAATCATTGTTTTGTTTCAGGTCCCATCATTTACTCGTAGATCCAGCATCCTCTCTGGCCTGCATGAAGCATCACAGGATGATAACATCTGTCTTGAAACTGCACGGATGCAGCAGATCACTGAAAAACAACACTACTACCAGCCTGACCCCAAAATATACCAGAATGTAAAAGAGATGGAGGCAACTGAAGAAGGCTGGAACATTCCTCAGGCCCTGCAGCAGAAATGGGTTCAAGATGAGGACACTGGATGCCTCAGCAAAGTAAGAGACATCACCATAAAGCTTGAGAAACTTCCAGCTAACTTCAGTGGTGGTGAGATGCCAAAACTTGGCTCCAGTCTTGTTGCCAAGGAAGCCCCTGCCAATGGAATAAGCAGCAAGTTGAAGATTGTGAAGAACAAGAATAAAATTGGTCGAAAAGTCATCGTCATGAGCAAATATGCAGAAAATAGCAGCCAGGCAGCTGAGATTAAAAATGAGGAAGCAGATTTTGGGGTAAAGCAGCTGCTACAGAGTCCATTAAAATTCACAGATAGTGCAGTGGAAATGAATTGGTACTCTAAGAAGCACAGCCTTGATAATGATTGTGAAAAGGACAGCAAAATTGAGGCTAACCTTCCCACATGTGGATTTACAAATGGAGTGTTCCACTCTGCTGTGAATCATTCTATTACAAACAAAGGGAAGGAATTATACAATTCAGCACCTAATCAACCTGATCAACCATCGCAGTTGACGGGCAAGTCCAGTCTGGCCCCAAGGCCTTCAGAAAAGGGCGTCCTTCTTCATTCAGATCAAAGGAGTGGTGACAAATGGCACTACTCACAACCAGACAGCGAGTGGGAAGATGAGACCAGAAAGTTCTTGAGTTTTCAGATTATAAATGCATCAAACTCAGGGACAAGTCATTGGCAAATCAATGACACACACCTTAATGGACACAGGTTTGAATTTTCTGACCACGCAGACAAGCCCACAGACCTGAGTTGTTCACAGTCAAGAAAAGAGAGTGATTCAATCACAAACTGTCAAGTAAACGGTAACTCTAAAACATCTGAGAAGGAGGTGGAACCTCGTCCACAACATACAGAGGAGGAACTGGAATCTGAACTTGTTCCGAGCTTCACTCCTTTTTGTGGGAATATAATAATCACAGACATAACTGCAAACAGCCTCCCTGTGATGTTTAAGGAATATGTTACTGCCTAGAAATGACTGCTTTATAAAAAAATTCTGACAACATAACTCTTAATTTATACAAATGTAAAGTAGAACTGGTCTTCGTGCTTGAAGATCACCTTAACTCTTTTCAGAATGATAGTATTATGAAGTTTTAAAGAGCAAGTCTTGATTAAGAGCCAATTAAAACCACATGTAAATAAGGTCATGCATATCAAAGACCTGGCAGGTGAAGCTCTGGTTGGGGGGATTAAATGTACATGAATGAAACAGAAACAAAGAAACAAAGAAAACCAAAATTCTCAGAAACAGAACTACAAATTCTAAGGGAAGAAATGGTGACAAATAATAGTAAATTGTTCAGTAAATATGCTTTTAACTTTTAACTTTAACCAGAAAACAAAGATTCTTTATCAGTTGATATTATAAAATATCAAATTAAACAAATTATAAAAATATCAATTCAATTTTGAATTGTAGGAAATATATTTTAGCATGTAAGATTTCCATTCAAATCTTTTTTCTGATTCATTATAACTGGAGTAACGTTTTTTGCTAACATGAATTAAAGCTTCACATGTGGCATTTTTTCCCCACACAATTAGTCTTTTTAGCTTTTATTTCCTATTTTTGTTGATATCAGGAATTCTGTTTACACACATGAAAATTAAATTTTAACTTGTATGTGTTTAATTTTTTATATCAGGAATTCAATTTGCCCCTGTGAAAATCAAATGAATTAGTGAATGCTTTATTTTGACTCACGTGCAAATTTAATTCCTGATATGAAAAATGCATTATTTATTACTTAAACCAGTAACATGTGAAAAATGTACAAAGGTACAAATAATATAAATGTTCCCTCAAAGGTACCACAGTGGTCTGAAGGTCTAACAATGTACTTTAAATACATTTTCCTCTGTAAAATGAAAAGCCTGGAGACAAGACAAGGTCCAGAGTCTTTTTCTTCTTGTTCAAGTACAAAATGTATACAGTGAACACAGTTTCTTTAACTCTTTTCTCTTTCAGTCTCAGCCTGTAACAAAACTGTGTATTTCTACAGCTCAGATTACAAACGCAAATGTACACTATAATTACACTGTCGCACTGTCCTCTATAACCTAAAGTGAATATGAACTCCATATCAGTTGACTATGTCACAGATACCGTATTTCTTATAGATGGTCAAAATCTGGATGGAACCTCAGCTGAGACTGGAATCAGGTATGACTACAAAATGGCAAATTAAAATGGTAAAATTGAATTTGAATTTTCATTTTGAGCCCAACATTGCATATATTTAAATTCAAACATACATATATAAAGTAATTTTGCATATTACATTTTCAATGCAATTTTGCTACTGATATGCTTCCATATTATTGGTTTATGAGCTGAAACACAGATTTGTTTTTACTCTGTAACATTATTACAAATTTATTAAATATACTGTATTGCAAATGAACTCATTTTAAAGTAAAAGTACTATGATTTAATTCTGCTCAAAAAGGTACAGTTACAGGGGAAAGTGTACTCAAATACAATAATGAAAGTAAATGTAACTTTCCATCTCTGTAAACAATGTACATTTCACATAATTTATATATAGATTTAAGTAAATACTCAGAAGCCTAAAAATGAATATTAATGTATTATATATAATATATATATATATGAATATTAAGTAGAGCGGTTTAGGCCTCTTTAGCCTGCTATATTTTGAAGGGGAAATCCACCATTTTTTAAAAAAATTCTATATAATTAAATCGATGCAGTGTCATTCAGAGTGGTTTGGTGTGAAATGGCACCCTCGGTGGTCCATGTGCTTAGCAAATATAAATAAAAATATAGCCGCAAGCAGCAATGAGCGGGTTCAAGCATGCAATAGCAGTATGGGCCCTTCTGCAGGTTTGGCCCATTATGCCTAAAAAGACCTCAAGCTTTTCGTTTAGCCCATTAGGCCTAAAAAGGCCTCAAGCTTCTCGTTTAGCCTATTAGGCCTAAAAAGGCCTCAAGCTTTTCGTTTAGCCCATTAGGCCTAAAAAGGCCTCAAGCTGTGGGTCTTATTTATAGGCAGAGTGAATAGAACTGAAAGGAAGTCCGTTCATCAAAAGGCCTTCAGTTGCCATAAACAACGATCAGAGGTCTTTAAACACATTATAGGTTTAAAGTCATATGTACTGATCTACACTGGTTTGTAGAACATCCAAGACGTTGTCAACATAGATGTCAAAACTACATGACTAATGGCAGCATTTCTCACATAGTAGCACTTGCACAGTGGATTGGTTCTATATTTAAGCCATAATGAGGCCCAATGCACTCATAACCACAACATGGTTTCATTCTTGATCAGGGACCATATCCAAAGAGGTTCACCAAGTTTTGGTCAGAATGACCTTGTGATCTTTGTATAATAAGCCTTTGTATAGTGAAATCTTTGAATGAATAAGCCAAAATAGAAGACAAGCAGTGCAATTTTTGACATAACATGTAACTAGAAAGTTGTTCATGAGAGTGAACTGAGTCACAGGGCACCATTTTTTTATCTGTCGACCTTGTAATAACATTGTAATAGCATTTTAGTTGTTTTTTAAGTGTTTTTGAGTGCTAAAGCGCCCCCTAAAGGTCAATCTGGACCAACATTGGCCAAGACCATTAGAGTCCTAATATATAACATTATTGCAAGTTTGGAGATGATCTGACTAATGACTGTTGAGTTATAGCAAATCAAGCTAGCAATGCCATGGTTGCAGTAATTAATTGATTGATTCTCAATACACTCAGTGGAACAGTCAAAATGTTTTGGATAATTATTGACGATCAGTGTCTTCTGAATCTTAAGATACTAATTTGATGAAAATTGGCAAAAAATCCAGAGACTAGTTCACAAGAATAGGTTTTTCACATTATGCAAATTAGCTCAAAAACTAAGTGGGTGGGGCTAAAAGTGACCCAGATGCACTTATTCAGCAAGTCCCAAGGAATCAGCAGAATACAGAATTTTGTCTCTATCTCACTCTGATCGAATGTTACAGGCAAAAATATAAGTAAAGTTGAAAAAGATGAAAAGTTGAAACATAGGATTAAGGAAAGTATGAGCTCAGTGAAAGTGGGTCAGAATTAGCGAAAAGGCCACAATATGGTATGATTCTTGATCAGGGACCATATCCAAAGATGTTTACCAAGTTTTGGTCAGTTTGACCTTTTGACCTTTGTATAATAAGCCTTTGTATAATGTAGTCTTCGAATGAATAAGCCAAAATACCAGACAAACAGTACAATTTCTGACATAACATGTAATTAGAATTTTGTTCATGTGAGTGACCTGAGTCGTATGGCACCAATTGTTTATCTGTCGACCTTGTAATAACATTGTAATAGCATTTTAATTGATTTTTAAGTGTTTTTGAGTGCTAAAGCACCCCCTAAACGCCAATCTGGACGAAAAGTGGCAAGCACCATTAAAATCTAAATATGTAAAATCCTTAAAGTTTGGAAATGATCTGACCAAAAACTGTTGAGTAATAGCAAATCAAGTTAGCAAAGCCATGGCCACAGTAATTAATTGATTGTTCCACAGAACACTTAGTAGAAAAGTCAAAATGTTTTTGATAATTATTTACCTACACATGCCAAAGGATTTTTTCAGACCAAGTTCGAAAAGATTGGATCAAAATCCAGATACTAATTTGAAAAGTAGCCTTTTTAAACAGTTAATGATTACAAAAAAGCGATGTAGTTTTGTAATAAATATGCATTTGCAGAATTGTTTGGAATAACGTACTACATATGATACACAAGGATTTTCAAGCAAACTTGTAATAAAATAGTAATAATATGTAATAATATGTTCATTTTTGTGAATAGCGCCCCTCAGTGGTCAAATTTTTTCAAACTTGATTGTTTGTTAGAAAGTCACTATGTGTAGAGATCATTCAAGTTTCATGATGATTGGTCAATGTTAAGCCTGTCAAAAGCCTGCTAAATGCTGATTGGCCGATGGCGACCATATACTTCAAATTGTCTTTATGGATTCCCTTATAGTCTGGCCAGCAGATGATATCTGCAAAGTTTCAGCCTGATCGGATGTAGGGATGCTGAGAAACAGCCATGTAGCATTAACTCCGCCCCCTAACGACATATGCGCACAAAAATTGACTGGCTACCTCAGAATCTTCTCCCAGATGTGTCTGTCAAGTTTGAAATTTTTTGGCTGAAGGGTTGTTGAGTTACAAAATTTTAAATTAATTCTGAATTATTTTGAATTTATCCAGAAGGGTTCATTTGCACATGACAGCCATGTTGTTTAGAAAAGTCAACATTTTTTTGATAATTATTGAGGTTCAGGCTCTTCTGAATTTTTTGACACTAAAAACATGAGGATTGGGCAAAAATTGTAGGACTAATTCGCAAAAGTAGGTTTCGCATATTATGCAAATTAGCTCAAAGTCTAAGTGGGCGGAGCTAAATGGTCCAAATGGCAAAGTTGTTTGGTTGGACCCAAGGAACTAGGAAAAAAATATGGCTTGTCTGGCAAAAATCTGGTTTAGGAGTTATAAACCCAAACGCGTTGACCTGCGCTATAGCGCCCTCTTGTGGCTGACTGGGCTGATTCCTTGCACCTGAGTAGTAGGAGGGAATACTACCTATTGACCAAGTTTCAAGTCTCTAGGACTTACAGTTTGGGCTGTGCATTCCTTTTCAGGGAAATCTTGACAATAACAATAGGGTTCAATGCATTGCATGCTTGAACCCTAATGAAAAACGATTTCTATATAGAAAACTGAGTTTAGCCTTAACCTTCAACTGCATCTTAGCAATACAGTGAGAAAAGTATAATGTACTAACCAGATGCCTACAGTGATCTAAAGTCTAAAGGTCTGAGCACTAGTGAAAATGTTTCTATTTGGCATTACTTTCTAATTTAACACAATGATTTTCATTAACAAATCATATTATTAGCTTTACAATTTGAGTGGAAAGTAAAATATTTTAAATTCAAGAATTTCAGAATTTTATTATTTGGTGGCCCATTTACTTCAATCACAGTGTGCACTTGAACTCCACAAGTTTGTGCAAAAACCTCAAATGAGCAGATCAAATCCACCTGAAAGGTGCCTGAATGGAAGAGATAAGGAATCTGACCTTTTTGTAAAAAGGCCTTTATGCTGTCAATGTCACAAGTTTGTGCAAATTTAAAAAGTGACCTAGAAATAGTGCAGAATCTTGCATTTCTATTTATTTTCTGTTTCTTTTTATTTCCAGGCTTAAATGAAAAATAAAAAATTGCAAGATTAACAAAGTGTCAGACTTTTGGACCTCACTATAAGTACACACTCACCTCTTCCAGGGCAGATCCCTCACTAATGGTGATCTCAGAGGTAGAAGGGGGCTCTGCACTCTTCTTAACAAGCCACATGATCTTGGTCTTGGTGGGGTTTAATTAAAGCTTGAGGCTGCTAAAAGCCTGCTGAATTTGAAGCAGGCTATTCTGAAGTGATAGTGAGATTGATTCAGTGACATACAGGATTGTGTCTGCAGAGTATAAATGAATAAGGGAATTATTAGCAGCATTGGGGGGAGGTCATTTTTAAATACTCAAAACAGATTGGGACCTAATACTGACCCATGGGGTACATCTTTACTAACAGGGAGAGGGTGAGGGAGATAATGATCAAATTTTACATACGGAATTCTATGAGAGAGGAATAATATAGTTACAGGAACCAACAGATTGAGTCTTAACAAACAGCATTCCTCTGTCCTCTCATTCTCCTCCTGCAGCTCTTATTGGGAAAGTTAATAAAGGTGAACACCATATTATACATGACCAGCAGAGGGCAGCAGTAGTGCATTCACTGTGCAGTTCAGCAGCAGATCCATGTTCACACAGTATCAATACAATTGCTGACTCTTATTGACTTGATAGAGATTCTGAGTCAAATCAGATACATACTGGAAAATCACTGACAACAGTGTAAGACATTTGTAGAGGGTCCATGTTCTACATTTTCCTTGTATTTTATTTTTTCCCCAGGGTCAACAACATTTGTGTGGTTTTATGTACTAATTAATAGGTTCATATCTGTAAACGTGTTACTTTTGTAACAATAACAATGAATTCAGAACCAGCTGTTTTATGAGTTTAGATTTCACAATAGGACTGTATGGTCTGGGGAGTGAAGGATAAGTTTAGGAACTTTATCAATTTTCACATCAAAATCTTTAATTCAACAAACAGAGGCAGGTTTGATTTTGAATTATTTAAATATAAAATGAATCAGCCTTCTGATGATTTACTTCTTATATAATTCTCTGATGTTTTGATGTAATGTTAATATTTAGTGTACATGCAAAGGTTTGAACACCGGTGGTCAAATGACACATTTTGTTGATTTTCTAAGTGAAAATAAGTAGTGAACATACCCTGGAACAAACTTAAGTCTGGGCTTTTTCTGCAAGATTTCCTTTGTTATTTCTCTGTATTTGCTGAGATTAACATATCAGAAAATAAGTACTATAACTTTTGTAAAGGCCACATTTTATGTTATTTATTTCCAGTATGATCAATTCAGTAAACAAACAGTAATACTGCATTAAAATATGCAGACATGTGTTCTCTGTATGTGTTGTGATGTGTTAACTTATTTACACTTAGAACATCAAAAAAATCACAGTAAAATTTAACCACTGGATATTTTTATTCAAGCTACATTGAAGCATCATTTGATTCAGTTCAGCACTAGATGGCATAGTAGTCCAGTGTAAAAGCCCATGTCTTGCAAATCACCCCCATATAAAATATGGTCATGAAATTTGACCAGAGGTGCCCAAACTTTTGCATATATTTATGTTCACCAGCTGCCGGTTTTCTGTTTAACATAAAGGTTTAAAGTGGTTTTGAAGCTACAGCCAGATCTCCTCCAGAACTCTTTCCACACCTTCTTCTCCATCTCCAGCCTCCATGATATAACAAATATTATCATTCAATATACTTGATATAATCAGTCATTAATAATTGCAATACATTTTAAATACGTATGCTTGGAATTGAAGTAATAAACATTTCATTCCATTGGATCTGTTGTTCGGCTTTACCTTTATTGTTTGTAACTGCAAATATTGTTTATTTGTGGCCAGTATTGTTATTACTTTCTGTAGCTCATCCTTCTGTACTTTCAACAGTTCTTCTCTCAGATCCTCTTGGGTACATATTAATATTATAGAAATGATTTCTAGTAGATTAGCCATGATTCTTACTTTTGAAAATTGGGTATGTGTCTATTCTGTATATGGATCATGGATCATTGTATATGGATCATTGAACTAAATTATTAACAGCAGCCTAACTGTAAAAAATAAATAAAAAAAAGTGAATAATTCAGAGGTTTATGCTCTGATTTATTTAAACCCAAGACATTATTAGGGATAGAAATGAGCTAAATATATACAAAATCATCTTTTACAGGCTACTTTCTATTGAAAGGTTTCTGTCCCAAATAATACTTATATTTTGTTGCATTCTTATGTGTTTTTAAAGATCCTTTTTATTCATTTTAAAATGAAACCATTTAGATGTATCACAATTTTAATATTTAAATAAAACACTTTATCCCAAAAAATGCTGCTCCACGTTTTCATGTCACTATGGAAACACAGAGTTTTAGTTTGTAAGCAGAGCCTCATTTTAGCCAAGCCTGTGCATTTTAGAGTAGGAAGTGAGGCCGCATCCCTGTCCCTCATGGCCACAAGGTGAGCAGTTAGATCCCATTGTTTTGAAGTAAATGTGTCCCCAAGTCTGAAAACCAATGTGGAACATTAAGAATTATCACTACCGAAACACAGATTTTGTGCAAATATGTAATAGTTTTGTGTTGTAAAGAAAAATATGTTGATGTTGTGTGAACTGCTGTTCAAAGCTGTGTTTGCTGGTCATGCACTGCCTGCGTTTTTGAGTTCAGCTAAAAATGAGCTAAAATTGTCACTACTAGTCAATACTGAAACAGTCACTACTGAAACATTCGGTAAAGTCTGGGTAGTATTATGACTGTTTTGGCAGTGACAAAATGAAGGGTTCAATTATTTGTTTTACTGTAATAAACATAATTAAGGTTTAGGGTCACTCAAAGCAAAGGTATATTAGTCTAAAGATCAGTTAAAAGTCCCAAATTTCTTTCAGTTATGAACCAGTTTGAACCAGTTCAGTAGAATCATCCAGATCCAAACAGAACTATCTTACTGCTGTGTATGTTGTTATTCCTACAGCAGAGCAACATCATTGTATAGCTACATTAACTTCTGGTAGTGAAAGTCAGCTGCTACATACTGCAGGGGTCAAAGGGTATAACTGTTAAATCATCTTCATCCAAATGTGAGGCCTCCAAGACCTGAACACCAGAACAGACTCAGCTTAAAGTCAGATTTTAACGTCATCAGCTTTCAGTTAATACATCATACACTTCATACAGTAAGAGGTGGAACCATATTTTCATTTGAATTTTTCTGATCCAGTGACCACTGTAACGTTCATGTCTAAGTGTGGTGTACAGAATTAAAACACTCACAGGACAGAGATGTGTTTATGCTTGTAGGGAGATCTGAGATCTCTTTATTATCACACAACAGAACACATCACACTGATCTCTGCGCTCACAGATTCGCCACATGAAAGATCCAGTCTCTGTACAGTGGGTTACAAATGTCCATGAAGACCAAGGGAGCCGCATTAAGATACTCTGAGCCACCCTTAAGCACTCCATACAGCTTTCTTTTCCAGACGAGGCTCCCACCAGAATCACCCTGTAAATACACACAAAGAAGTAGTTTCTGGATCATCTCTGTGTATGTTAAAGTCAGAAAACATGACTGATGTAAGATTGTGAGCAAACATACTGAATTGGTTGAAACACCTGGATACTTAACACAAACACAGTAACCAGGGACATGGGGGGCTGTTCTGTAATGGAGGACAGTCATATGGTCTGGTAGGTTGACACGCCATAACTATGGTGTCTGCAAAGCGAAGCTGTTTTGCGGTGAAGGGATCTGTGGATTGACAAAGAGATGATGGGAATTTTGCTGCACGATATCATACATTTGAAAAGCACATCTAAGTTAATCTTACTCATCCGATCTGGTAGACAAAGATTTGTATTCATCCAGCCGTAAAAACAAGCTTGATGGCCACCAGGCGGTGCAGTGCAGCCTTGAAGAGGGAGCTGAATGATGGGTAAGTGATCCTGCTTGCCTTTTTTCAGTTTCAGTAACATGAGATCATGACTTTCCTTTTCATCAAAAACAAAACTGTCTGTCATCGATCTCCCGCTGTTCTTCATGATCACGGTCAGAATGAGCGTTCACAATTACCTTTAAGCTCCTAACAGCACAGAATGAGAGAATGAGAACAGAGATGAGTTCAGAGCACTTCTGTACTAGACTGACGGCATTTCTGCATCACTTTCTACATTCATTATGGAATGTAGTGCTCTATCCTCTTTACACTCTGCATTCTGAACAGGATGAACAATGATGATATCAGAATCATATCAGTATTTGCAGATAATGTAAATGAAATTAATGTGACAGGACAGGTGTTTAGATTTAGCTGATATTTGATGATGTCATTATGGTACTCTGAAAGATCAGAATGTTTAGGTGATGCTGGACTGCTACAGCAAAGTGTCTGCATTTTTTTATTTTACAGCATTTGTTAAATAAATTAACAAATTAACAAATAAATGTTATTTCTCAGTAATGCTAATCCAGGTGTATTTAGTCTCACTTTCTACATTTACTGTACAAAAGACAGAGAGCACCCTTCATTTATTAAGTCTTAAGTCAAAACAGCCACAAAGTACAAATCATTTATTTTTCAGGAGATATTTGTGAGGAGATTAGATATAAAATAATCCACCAACCCACATAACGAAAAGCAAAGTGAAAATAAGTGAGAAAATAGGAGCTTCCAAAACTGATTAAAATATACAGTTAGATAATATGTTTTTTTTGTAATTTTCTTCTTATTAAAAAAAGTCTTTCATCACAATACCATTCAATTGCAACATATACCAATACTGTAATTTAGTTGTAGAAACTCATGCATATATAATCCTTCTGTTGTAATCCATGCTTTTCTTATGCATTAAATAAATAAATAAATAAATAAATAGAGATAAATGAGCAGATTAAAAGTTCCAGTTAAATTCCAGTTAAAAACTTGAGCAAAAGTATTCAATACAAAAACTAATTAAATATGAATTTTAAGCTAAAACAACTATAACCTCTGATCTTCCAATAAAATTAGGTTATCACTTTCTTCACATGAAATCTATATATATATCACAAATGGGGAATCATTCTTTTGAGTAGACAGAAGGGATGGGGGTGTGAATGTCATACAAATTAAGTTAGTTTTTCCATAATAAAAATTTCAACCATTATATCATGCTGCTCATGTAATTGAGGGGTTCATTGTGATGGTGATTGTTTTCTGACTTGCTGCTAACAAGGTCTTTAACTATTTCTTATAGTTTTAACTCAAGGCAAGAGGGCTTTGTATGATTTTAAGGGGCCCTCTCTCCAAAGCTTGCATATTTACGTGTTTAAATAGTTCACTGAAAGTGTCACAATGAGCAGCAGTGATGACCCAGTCTTGAGAAATCAGAGAACCTCCACAGCGCACTTCATCAGGACAGCCTTTACGTTCCAAAATCACATGATGCTGACCATGATGCTGACCAGGAACTGGCCCATTATGATCAGTTGCATCACCTCCTAGTTCAGGATGATGAGGATCCACATAAACTCTCTTCTGAACTTCCCCCAGTGCAGCACCTTACAGAGAATTACAGAGGAAAAGAGTTAACATTAACAGACCATCAGTGAACTGAATCTTCATTACCTTATTCAAAGCTATAAATTCTATTCTATGCAAAATAAACCTTCATTTTGTAAATTCAGTAATAAAATCAAACAATCATTGATAATGAGCCAAGTGTCCAAAATGCAAATGTATTAATCACAGAAACAGTAACATAAAACAAGACAAGAGACAGATTCATAAACCACACTGCCAGACTTACTGTGATAATAAAAGTAAATAACATGGTGGTAACATGTTTGTTAATTCATAAACAAGGATTGCAGATGTGTTTTGCCGCTTGTGTGATGTGAGGTGTGGGGGGCATGTTTACTTCATTTAAATATGGCAGCAGTGATTCATAACAGGACACAATCCTGCAAAAAAATAACACCTGATCCACTCTGACTGTAATATTCCACTTTAAGGCTGATGTGGATTAAAGGAGATTTTCTACAATGTTTCCACACACACACACACACACACACAAACACACATACATACACTCAGCTGATTAACAGATACATTTAAAAGACACACTTTGATCTGTTTGGACTGAACATAGGAACCTTCTACACGAGCAGGATTTCAGATCAGCACTAAGTTTTTCTGTAAGAAATACAAATGTAGGTGTTACAGAGGAAGATCTTTTTAACAGATTCCTCTCACACTCTCAACACACACTGGACTTAAAACAGCCTCTTCTTCCTGCACTCAATATTTAATATTTACTAGTGGAATTTTAATTTTCACATGTGTAAATAAAAAAAAAATCAGAAATAAAAGCTAAAATGATCATTAGAATTTCAGCACATTGATTTAATTTGTAATTGTGTGAAAGAATACCACATGTTAATCTTTAATTAGTAAAACATGGTTAACATGTTAATAAAAAATGGTACTGATTATAAAGAATTGGAAATTGGAATTATTACCAATGAGAAATTAATTTTTACATGCTAAATTATCATTTAAGATGTTATAATTTGATTTTTATATACATGTCTTCTTTTGTTCTAGCATAAACTACATTTTACAATAAAGAAACATGATTGAACAAAACAATTTGCATTATTTTCAGAAATTCTTCACTTTCTTCACAAATCGTTTTTTCATTTGTTGTTTCTCTTACAGTGTTTATTTAGTCACCTGCCGGGTCTTTTATATGTATGAGCCCATTTACATATGGGTTTTGATTGGCTCTTGTCTACAACACACTACAACATCGCTACCAAGGGCGCCTCCTGGCCTGGACATCCAGCTACAGCTACTAATATTTTAACAAGCCCCAAACCTTATAACCTCACACAGAGAGAGAGAGAGAGAGAGAGAGAGAGAGAGAGAGAGAGAGAGAGAGAGAGAGAGAGAGAGAAAGAAATTGAGATTTGGAAAGATAGAACGCTGAAACTCTCAAATCTTTCTATTTCTACACTCAAATCTGATCTGTTTCCATATCAATCTGATCTGTTTCCAGTTCAATCAGTTCAATTATATATATATATATATATACACATATATATATATATATATATATATATATATATATATACACTAGATTTTTGCTTAACTCACCCTTAAAACTGGTAAGTTCTGCTCTCTTTCAGGAGTAAAATATGTTCTAGTGGGGCCATTCTCTTTTATCACTGTCCCACCCAAAGGATTATGAATAAAGAAACCAAAAGCAAATATGAAATTACATTTTTAATGCCCACCAATCAAAGTCTCAGTTTAACCAATAACTATGACTGTGAGGGGTTTACTAAGCATCTCTCCCTCCTGATCCACCAGCACACAACACACCCTGAGACTCCCAGCTAGTTCTCAGTGCTGATATAAGAGCTTCTCACCACTCTTGTAGGAGAAGTTTGAGTTCATGGAGTCCTACATTAGCAGCAATACTGTCAGCATGTTGGAGATGAATGTGGGGAGAAACATTATGTGGATTTAAGGCTTTGAAGAGCATGAACAGCCTGCTTTAAATATGAACGCAGCCGACGTAGCACAAAATCATCTATAGCATTTAATAAATACAGTAACTACAAACAGTTATGCAATGTGGCACAATCATCAGCCAACACAGTGAAACACTGAAGGCATAAATTCTAGAAATCACTCGCATTTTAAAGTTATGGTGGTCGTTATTGCTTCTGTGTGCAAAGCAAGTGATTTTATTCTCTTTTATTAGGAACTCTGAGTGCTTTTGGTTGACTAATGAGCCAGTGTCTCCTACTGCAGTGTTTGACTGACATATAGCAAATGACTCAATGGTGAGTGTAAAAAATGCTGACTGCTTTTTCAGTAAAAGACTGTATGAAAATTTGTACACAAAACCTCAACATTTAAAGAAATCAAAGGAAAAGTTTTCCAACACTTACACAACTTACTCTTTGCCTAATGATTTGTGGTTAAGACCATTAAAAGCTTAATGTTTTGCAATTTTGGGCCCATTTTTTGCCCAGGAGTGTACACCATCTTAATGCATACAAGTCAGGGTCCCCTTTAACAATCTGTGCTACAACTCTTTACGGGGAAAATAAAACATGGATCACTTGACAAGTGAAATAAAACATCCCAATCTTTGGGCTAAAGTTATTTAATATAAAGTACAGCAGCAACTCACCTGCCAACACCAGGAGAAAGAGACTCTTCATCACACTCATCATTATGGTCTTCCTCTCTGTGTCTCATGCTAAGAGCTCTTAAACCCTACACATCACCAACCAAGTTAAGCAATCAGACTCTTACACTGTAGCTCAAACAGCCACCACTTACCAACAGTCCACTGAGGATGGTTTGCGTGTAAGTGAAGATACCTCATAATTCCAGAGACTTTCTCAGCTCACACTAAGCCTCTTTGATCTCAGATATGAAATGAAAATGGAAATCTTGCAAATTTAACAACCACCACAACCACTTAACACTGCAAATTAAATCATTAAATAAAAACAAGGTGAGTGTCTACAAAATAGCAGTAAAACAAAGAGTTTACTTTAACTAAGTTTAGCTTAAACTGTTTAAGATGTAACATGTGTTTAACTTCTCAGGGACAACAAACCTGTTAAGGATTATCTCAAGGAAATAAATTTGGACAGATTTTACACCTTCTCTGTACTGAACGATGCTGGTAAATGGTACTGGCTTTAGACATTACTGCATTATGTCTTGTGGTTTGATTAGAGAAAAATGTGTTTTCATTCATCTACAGTTACAAGTTTCATAGTTACTAGAGCTGATCTTGGTGTTTCTTTGGTATTTCTTTTTCTTCTTTCTTGTCAGAAACTGATATTAAAAGAATGTTCATAGAGGGCTGTTCAGTTCCAGCTGTAAGCACATGCAAATGAGCTCCTGCCTGATAAACTTTATAACACCAAATTTATGATGAATTGGCTCATAATAGAGATGACCTGAACATACACTAAAGATTATTTGAGTGTACACTGGAAGTTATTTGAATGTACTCCAGTGATTATTCAAATGCATGTCTGGACTGGCCATCCGTCAGTCCGGGTACTTTCCAGGTGGGCCACTGTGCCTTTTGGACTAAAACAAATATCTTTTTTTAATGACATAAAACAGGTAGATCTGCCCATTGGCCTAATCACATATTTAAACACCTCCCCTTTTGCGTTCAGTCCTGGCTTTATTAAACAAAGCATATGCTAATAAGTCATAGTTTATAATTAACCAAATGTTTGTCCATGATAGGGTTGCAGAGAAGAGCAGGTTATTTAGAAAGCTGCTCTTGTAGCCCAATAAGTTGAGATGAAATTAATAAAATGATTAAGAAAATATTCATTGTAACAGAGAGATCTGCTATGTTTTCTTCAAGCCTGAACCACCTCAAAAATATTATCTTTGTTTCTCAAAGATAATGACAGCACTGCAGCAATAAACAGTGATTTCAGAAAAGACAGAGTGCAAAGTTATGGCAGTATTTTTTAGACATGACACTTAATATCTGGCTTCACTTGGATTTGCTGCATGGACTCTCCTGTTCTGTGGAAACATCAGTAGCAAAATTCTAATGAAAATGTAATATGCAAAATGGCAAATGCATTTGTATGTTTGCATTTAAATTTCCCACTTGTGTATGCAATGTTGGGCACCAAGCGTAAAAAATCTAATTCAATACGGCCATTTTAATTTGACAATTTGTAGATTAGTACTGACATTTCATTTACACAGAGTTTTAGGCACTTTATAAGTAGCTTAATTTAATTTGAAATGTATTTCCAGAATTGCATAGTTGTGCCTCTTGTGATTACACAATAATAGTGTAGTAATATAATTAATGTAATGTATGCATATTTGCACTCTTAAGTAATGTATTTGAAATTGTATCATCAAAGAGAACACCAAGCTACAGGGACTCTTCTCTTTGCAATTAAATATTTTTGCCTACTGCACTCATACTGTGGCAAAATGCCTTTGAAAATGATTGCATTTTAATTTTCATTGACTTCCTAACCTGTAACCCATCTTACAGGCTTTATCTGACTGAGAGCAGCGAGGAAGTCTGTAGGGCGGCTGTCACCGCTATTCAGTTCAGCTTGGCCCTGGAAGAAAAAGCATGGACCTGCTGGAAGAGCAGCATGGTGACCTGGCAACACTGACCACGTACTTGACCATGTGACCATGGTTTGGGCAGGTGCTGGTGGCGTGGTTGGCCAGGCAGCTGCTTCCTGAAAGGCAGGAGCATGAGGGTTCCGCAGGCATACCCATCGTTTGAGAAGGCGGCGCAGGAGGCGTTAGCGCTGAGACACATCCTGGGCGCCTGCTGCCAGAGGAGCTGAGAAAGCATGTGCAGCTCGCCGCACAAATTAGCCTTCAAGTTGCTGTAGCCAAAGCAGAAAGGGACAAATTCCCCTCTGGCGTGGAGACATGGCAGCAAGCAACACAATGTTACACAGGGGATGGGCTTGAGGAGAAGATGCTGTCGGCTGGTGCTTTCCCCGTGCTGCTTGTTCAATATAAGAGCATTTGCCCGTAAGCGCAATGTTTCCCATGTATTGTTCTACGCCAAAGCGTCTATATCTGACATTCACTATGTACATTAGAAAAAGTCCTTGGTGCTGTATAAATCTCTTTATGTATCCTATGGTTGGCTAACAGACAATAATTTCGACCCACAGATTAAAGCAGAAAATTTCTGCCGCATGTTTAAAGACTCTTTGTGGGTCATGTTTAAAGATTTATATATACATATATATATATATATATACTGCTCTGTTTCACCCCATCTTCTAATGAAATATAGGCTGCCATGTTTCAGATAAAGCCTTTTCCGCTGGGCGGGCTGTTGGCCCTGCACTACTAGGAGGAATGACAGTTTGGGAAGTTTAGAAAAATGGAAATGAAAATTACAACCGGGTCTAAAGTATTTTCAAAGGCATTTTGCCACAGAATGAGCGCAGTAAGTGAGAGTATGTAATTGCAATTACTGAATTAATCTAATTAAAGTTACTTATAAAGTGTCGACATCTCTTTGTGAATGAAATGTCAATACTAGTGTAACAAATGACAAATCAAATTGGTAAAACTGAATTAGAATTTTCATTTTGAGCCTAAAAATCATTGGAAAATTTAAATGCAAACATACAGATAATTTGCCATTTTAAATATTACATTTTCATTGTAATTTTTCTATTGATATGCTTCCATACTTCCCTTTACTCTAATATTATACTATATAACCATAATATTATTAATATTCGTTTCATGCTAATTGGCAAAATAAACTATGTTAAATAGAGAGTTAATTTCATAGTATGAAATAATAAAACATAGTGTATTCTTTGAAATATCTGACCAGTTGATGAGTGAGAGTTTATGCACTTACCTGAATAAATGTTTCACTAATGGTTAAGATCAGGATCAGGTGGTGAAGATGAATTATTAACTTGGAGCTACTGCAGAAGTAACATTTGGCTATCACTCCTTAGATGTTCACTTATGAATGTTATTGCAGTGTGTCCCTCTGCTGGTGTAGCTGTGAAACCTGCTTGAAGCTGATTGGTTGTGGGAGTGGAGCAGATACAGAGTCTGGATTACAGCTTGAGTTATCAGACCTGCTGCACAGTGAAGAAGACCACCATGAAGAGTCTGATGAGTTATATTTTTTTCTGCCTTTCAGTGTTACTTTTGGAAATGACTGTTGATGTAACAGATGTTTATTCTTGCAGACATTATGAATATTTGAAATGAATGCAGCACTTTTTTCATTGTATATAATGGTTTTGATTCATTTGCACTTGAGCTGCTAACTGCATGTTTAAATTTTAACATCTGTTTAGTGTGTCTGAATTTCTGCTAAAGTGAATATCCATGAAAGTGAGTTCAGTCTCTCTCTGAGCCGATATCTCTTATAAATTCATACTCAGCTTGAGTGAACTGCACAAAATCCTATTAACATGCAGCAATAACAAAAAATGTTTTTTTCAAGGTCTTTAGTAAAGATAATGGTTCTATACAGAACCATGAACACGCAAAGAACCATTTGCTTGATTAAACAGTGCTCTGCATGGTGAAATCATTCTTTGATTGATGGAGAATGTGTTGTTTTTGAAATTGGTTCTATATACACTATATTGCCAAAAGTATTCACTTGTATGCCTTCACATGCATGTGAACTTGAGTGACATCTCATTCTAAATCCATAGGGTTTAATATGATGTCGGCCAACCCTTTGCAGCTATAACAGCTTCAACTCTTCTGGGAAGGCTTTCCACATGGTTTAGGAGTGTGTTTATGGGACTTTTTGACCGTTCTTCCAGAAGCCCATTTGTGAGGTCAGACACTGATGTTGGATGAGAAGGCCTGGCTCGCAGTCTCCGCTCTAATTCATCCCAAAGGTGTTCTATCGGGGTTGAGGTCAGGACTCTATGCAGGCCAGTCAAGTTCTTCCACACCAAACTCGCTCCACCATGTCTTTATGGACCTTGCTTTGTGCACTGGTGCGCAGTCATGTTGGAACAGGAAGGGGCCGTCCCCAAACTGTTCCCATAAAGCTGGGAGCATGAAAATGTCCAAAATCTCTTGGTCTGCTGAAGCATTAAGAGTTCTGGAACTAAGGGGCCGAGCCCAACTCCTGAAAAACAACCCCACACCATAATCCCCCCTCCACCAAACTTTACACTTGGCACAATGGAGTCAGACAAGTACTGTTCTCCTGGCAACCGCCAAACCCAGACACGTCCATCGGATTGCCAGACGGAGAAGCGTGATTTGTCACTCCAGAGAACACGTCTCCACTGCTCTAGAGTCCAGTAGCGGCGCTTTACACCACTGCATTCAACGCTTTGCATTGCGCTTGGTGATGTAAGGCTTGGATGCAGCTGCTCAACCATAGAAACCCATTCCATGAAGCTCTCTACGCTGTTCTTGAGCTAATCTGAAGGCCACATGAAGTTTGGAGGTCTGTAGTTATTGACTCTGTAGAAAGTTCTGTAGAAGACCTCTGTGCACTATGTGCCTCAGCATCTGCTGACCGCTCTGTCATTTTACATGGCCGACCACTTTGTGGCTGAGTTGCTGTCATTCCCAGTCGCTTCCGCTTTGTTATAATACCACTGACAGTTGACTGTGGAATATTTAGTAGCGAGGAAATTTCACGACTGGTCTTGTTGTACAGGTGGCATCCTATCACGGTACCACGCTGGAATTC